GTGCAGCCCTTTTCCTAACAGTCCACAGACAGGTACCAGTCCACGGCCCGGGGGTTGGAACCCCTGGTATAGATTCTCAGTTCCTTCAAATGTTTACACTATTTACTTGTAACAGTGTCTTCACCTGGGACTTTTTTGAAAAGGCAACTTGAATTAACATTTTAAATGTATTTAAATATATCTTTTCAAGTTGTCTACTTATTCTTGTTCCAAGCTATTGATTTATTTTTCATCCAGGTTTTAAAATTATTGCTATGCAGATGTTTATATATACTTTCATACAAACGACTTTAAACAAATAATTTTAACTACACATATATGTCTTCAGTTCTCATTTTCTTTATTCTAAATTCTGTTTATATCTTCTTTTTTATCTTCATGAAATCAATGTATCTTTTCTTACATGCCAAGTATATTACATAAAGCAAGAAAATGAAAAGTTTATTTATGAAAAGTTTATTTTATTTATTTATGTATTTGTTTTAGGTTCAGGTGTGCATGTGCAGGTTTATTGCATATGTCAATTTGCATCATGGGAGTTTGTTGTACAAATTATTTCGTCACTCCGGTATTAAGCTTAGTACCTATTAGTTATTCTTCCTGATCCTCTCCCTCCTCCACTCTTCACCCTCCAGCAAGCTCGAGTGCGTGTTGTTCCCTTCTATGCATCCATGTGTTCTCTTCATTTAGCTCCCACTTACAAGTGAGAATATACAGTAGCTGGTTTCTGTTCCTGTATTAGTTTGCTAAGGATAATGGCCCCCAGCGTCATATATGTTCCTGCAAAGAACATGATCTTATTCCTTTTTGTGGTTACATAGTATCCCATGGCGGGTATGTACCACATTTTGTTTACCCAGTCTACCATTGATGGGCATTTAGGTTGACTGCATATTTTTGCTATTGTGAATAGTGCTGCATTAAACATATGCATGCATGTGTCTTTATAACAAAATGGAAATCAGTATATCTTATTAATAGAGGAGGTAGAAAGAAATTATTTAGGCAGGTAGTGAGGACCACAGAATCTTTGGCTCTGAGCCACCCTTCTAGCAAAAAGCAGCCCTCCAAGTAATTTCTTTTCTAACAAAGAGCAGCCTGAAAAATCGAGCTGCAAGCATAGGTGCTTGTATGAAAGAATGCTGGCAGCTGCACCAAGAGAAAAGGGATATGTGGGTTCCATACATGTCCGACACAAAGGCTCCATTTTTCCTTTTTGGTTACACATGTTCAGAAACAAAGAAATGGGCATCATGGCGCAGCTCAGACAGAGAACCTGCCTGCATAATGAAGATTAAGGTGAGGCCCCCAGAAATGTGTGCCCTATGCAAATGGCACACCTAGTCTAACCAATTTTTTGTGCCTTGTGTAAATCAGACACTGCCCCCTCACCGACTCATCTCTAAAACCCCTTGCATTTCACTGCGGTCTGGCAACCCATTTTTTCAGGACCCCTCTCTGCAGCAGAGAGCTCTTCTCTCGCTTTTGCTTATTAAACTTCCACTCTGAACCTCACTCTTTGTGTGTCTGCATCCTTGTTCTCTATGGTTGTGGACAACGAACCTCAGGTGTGACTCCAGACAACAAAGCTGTTTCATTGTAGATTTCTTAAAGAATCAGATTTGGGGTCTGTTAAATTTCTCTATTGCATCTAGTTCATTATTTTATGTATATCTAAACTAAAATTTATTATTTCCTTCTTCATGTTTATTAGTGCTTGAGATGCAGTTACAGTTTGGACACAAAAGACTAATATTTCTGCTCAGTTTCTATTGTTGCTTGGTTTCAAATATTTCTTAATTTCTCTTTCTTTGCATTTGCTCTACCAATCGCTGCTTGGTACCAAGAATGATACCAAGAAATAGATTTTCAAAAACAGGATTCTGACATTGGCTCGATCACTGTTTGGTCTTTAATAATGACATCCTTTCCAGTAGTAAATAAAACATGGCAATCATTTGGCGTTCAAATTATTTTTATTAATTACCTGCAGCTCTTTGGTATAGAATACTTACAAGTGACAGATTTTTTTTTATTGCATTTTAGGTTTTGGGGTACATGTGCAGAACATGCAAGATAGTTGCATAGGTAGCAAATCACACGTGGCAGTGTGATTTGCTACCTTCCTCCCCTTCACCCATACCTGGCATTTCTCCCCAGGCTATCCCTCCCCAGATCCCGCCCCCTGCTGTCCCTCCCCTATCCCCAATAGACCCCAGTGTGTAGTGCTCCCCTCCCTGTGTCCATGTGTTCTCATTGTTCATCACCCGCCTATGAGAACATGCAGTATTTCATTTTCTGTTCTTGTGTCAGTTTGCTGAGAATGACGTTCTCCAGATTCATCCGTGTCCCTACAAAGGACACGAACAAGGGACAGAATTTTGATATGACATTGCAAATAATACATTTGCGAAGAGTAATAAAAGTTACAAGACCAAGGGTTGAGATGATAACTCGGAGAGCTCACTCACAGCAATAAAAAGCCAGAGAGAACTTGAGAACTTCCATTAATATTCTAAAAATATCTTCTGTTTTATGGCTATGGCAAAAATGTGGCTAAAAATAAGATGCAACATACAACTGTGCAATAGATAACTGAAACACTGAATTGAATACAGAGCCTCCATTAACTCTTCTCTGGGAAAGTAAAGGCATCGAGTGCAAGGCAGTGAGAATTGAGACTTTAGATAGGGATTTTGGGGTAAGACATGGTAAATGTGAGAACCTTGAACCTTTGGAAATCCCGTCTTCCCTCACCAACAGAATTAGCTCCTGCTTCTAAGGAAATTACACTTCTTTTGCTCAAAGACTTTGTAAATACTTGCATTTTAACCTGTTTCTTTGCAAGGAGATGGCTTTTCTCAAGAAGAATTTACCACTCGCTATTTCCTTCTGATACATAACTAGAGTAAGATCACTGCATACCCACGAGGAATTAGTGCAACGTCTAACTCATAAGAATCTAAGTCTTTTGGTTACATACACACACATGCACTCACACCATAAATTCTTATGAGTCAGATTTTTCACGAATATACATTCTACATACATTTATGGATGCATATACGCACATACCTATATTTATAAAGAAACCGAAGAACCTGGGTAGAAATGGTGCTTGCCATATTGCATTCTCAATAGAGAATGCAATAACCAACCTAAGACTATGTAATCTTTTAAAATGTTGTTAATACAGAGAAAGAAGTAAAAAAAGAGGGAATTTCTTGCACTTGCTCCCTGACTGAGAATAGCAAGTTAAAAACAGTGTCACTTTTTTGTATAATCACACAGTATGTGCCAACATAAATCACTAAAAGTTATGCTGCAGGTTTTATTTCTTCTACCCCCATTTTATCTCTCATATTTCACTCGAGCATTTAGTCTGTGTCTTTAAAAATGTCTCTGTATTATCTTAAACTTTATCAGCTAGAGACTTCAACTGCAGCTTTTTTTCCAGATGCAGTTTCTTTACTGGAACGATTCTATATGCCCCTGGCACATGGTATGTAGTGATTGGTTTGGAAAATGCTTTCTCTATATGTTATTTTTAAAGTACTATCAATTGCAGTTTACCTGGAAGGAACAGCAGTACACCGCCACTGGGCTATGTTGTTCCTGATTTTCTATGATGACCTAGTTTGCAGACTCTTACCCTCAGTCTTCATCACTCTTCTCCACTGACAACACTGTTCTGTTGCGTGTGGTAAAGGGAGAACTTTCCTTATATGCCTAAACAAGACACACATTTGTCAGAAGGTGGGTGACGAGCTAGAAATTTTAAAAAAAAAATATTTGCCTATAGTAAAATTGGCATTTTGTTTTGGCGTACAAGTCTGTGTTTTAACAGAAGGATAATTTATGGAACTGCGCCGCAATCAGAATACAGAAAAGTTCCATTATCTAAAATATTCCCTAATGAATTTTGTAGTCATACCCTTCTTCAACCTTTAATGCCTGGCAGCCATTATTCTGTTTATTTATAGTTTTACCTTCTCCAGAATAGCCAATAAGTTGAATCAAAAAATACGTAACCTTGTTAGACCTCTTTAATTCAACAGAATGCCTTTGAGATTCTTTTTTTTGTTGTTGTTTGTTCGTTCGTTTTTATTGAGATGGAGTCTGGCTCTGTCACCCAGGCTGTAGTGCAGCAGTGCAATCTCGGCTCACTGCCAACCGCTGCCTCCTGGGTTCAAGCGATTTTTCATGCCTCATCCTCCTGAGTAGCTGGGAGTACAGGCATGCGCCACCACATCCGGCTAATTTTTCTATTTTTAGTAGAGATGGGGTTTCACCATGTTGGCCAGGCCTTTCTTAAACTCCTGACCTCAGGTGATCTGCCTCCCTTGGCCTCCCAAAGTGCTGTGATTACAGGCCTGAGCCACTGTGCCCAGCCTCATTCAAGTTTTTGTTGGCTGAATTTTGCCGATGACTAGTATTCTATTACATAGATATAGCCCTGGATTTTTACCCATTCACATGTTGAGAGACATCAGAGTTCTGAATTCTGAATTGTTTCCAGTTTTTAGCTTTTATAAAGTTACTATAAACATTACGTGCAGGTTTTTCTGTAAACATAAACTTTCGATTCTCTAGGGTAAATGTCCAGGAGTGGAATTGCTGGGTCATATTTTAAGAGTATGTTTTATTTTGCAAGAAGTTGCAGAACTATTTTTTTGGAATGGTTGCATCATTTTTAACCCATCAGCAATGTTGTTCTGCATCCTCATTGGCACTCGAAATTGTCAGCACTTGAAATTTTTATCTTAACCATTTGAATAGGTGTAGTGGTATCTCTTTGATTTAATTGGCATTCCCCTGGTAGTTAATGATGTCGAGCAGCTTTACATGTGTATGTTTACAATCTGTAAATCCTCTTTGGTGAAGTTTTTAGATTTCTAGAAACTGCATAATACATATTTCAATCCTATCAATTTGGTTTGATTTTCTCCTTTTATATTGCAAAAATATTAGAAAATCTATTGCAGTTACATTTTTAAAATTAGTAGTCCTTGAATAAAAGGTTCTGTGTATAGTCATAAAGAGAGGACAGTCCTCTCAATTCTTTCATTGACAACTTAAGTTTCTTTTTAATGTCGTTTATTATATGGTTAACACGTGAACAACATGGATTTTAACTATGCAGATTTACTTCTGCCTCTGCCATTCTAGAGACAGCAAGATTAACTCCTCCTTCTCCCCTTTCTCAGCCTACTCAACTTGAAGACAAGAAAGAAGTTCTTTATGATGACCACTTCTACTTAGTGAATAGTAAATATATATTCTCTTCCTTATGATTTTCTTAACAGCATTCTTTTCTCTAGCTTAATTTATTGTAAGAATAAAGTATGTAATGCATATAACATACAAAATATGTATTAATTGACTGTGTTATCAGAGGCTCCAGGTCAACAGTTGTAGTTAAATTTTGGGAGACTCAAAAGTTATAAGCAAATTTTCAATTGCCCGATTGGCCGGTGGCCCTAACTTCTGTCTTGTTTAAGGGTCAATTGTATATTAGCTGAAAAGATAATCGAGTTACATTTATATAATCTGTTTAGCCATCTTCTACTTTGATGGAATTAGAAATACAGCTAAAAGCATAGGTTTTCCAAGCAGAGAACTTGCATTTTTGGGACCCATTCTTTGTATTTGCTACAGGTTTGGTAGAAACTCAATTTCTGTTATCAGTTCTATATTTAGATAGACTTTTATGTGTTGCTTCTGGTGTGGTTGAACAAAGTCATCTTTGCATGTGAGTGAGCTGCCTGACGTGTTAGTGAGAAGTCCTACTGTGTGGTGTCTTTCTCTGTGAAGCTATCATGGGAGATGTAGATTGTAGCTGCTTTCTGATGACTTTCATCCAGTATAGCATAAAGGGTTTGGAATTTTTTGCACTCTAGGAATACTAACCCTTGATTTTACCATAAGCACTTGGTGATGTGAGTGAGATTTTACTACTAGCAAGAAGAATAGACAAGCAGGAATTAGTTAACTGTGCCAAGATGCAATTTCATTCGAAGGATAATGTGTATACCCACACAAACACATGCACACACACACACAAACACACACACACACTCACGCTATGCTTTTACTGGTAACTACAACTATGTCATTATATATTGGGTAGAAAGCAAGTATTTGAGGACAGATGACCTTTACCACAGCTTGTTTGATTCCTTGTGTCCTGGAAACACCAAATCTTCATAATTGAATTCACATAGCAATACCTGCTGCTTGAGACACACTCTAGGATGAAAGCTGTTTGGATGTAATGTGGAAATCTAAGCCAGTCATTGAGATGGCTTTGCATCCAAGTGACTGCCAGTCCACTTCCGACTGTGCTTTCTTCTTAATGATCTGACTTCTCTCTTATTCTCGTGTCTGTGCATCATTTTGGAGCTCAGTCTATTTATGTGGGCATTGTTTTGTCCACTGATGCCTAATATGTAGATGGATAACCTAGTTAGGAAGATGGGGCATTGTGTATCCTTACCAATCCACCAAACCTGTATCAGCTCCACAGCCCTGTGGGAAATCCTAGACTGTTATGTCTCCAGGGCCTCCACGGCCTTGCTGGAGGAAAACAGCCCTGCCCCTGGCTGCTTTCTGGAACACCTCCTGCTGCTGGTGCCCTTTCTTCCCTGAATGACTGGCAGACTTCTGTCATTGTGTTTACTCCCTTCCCCTCCAGGGACAAGCCCACTGGAGCAGGCTCATCCATTTCCAGGGTTCAAACTACAGGCTTCTCTTATGAACCACCTCCGTTAACCCCTTTGTCGCTTGCTGCATCAATCACGGGTTCAAAGTCAGCCTTTGTTCAGAAGAATCACACTTTTAAAATTCTTGACTAATTATGTTGGGTTTGCTGTATTGCTCAAGCTGACTTAGTAAACTATGGCCCTGTTGTGCTTAAGAAGCAGGCTGCCTATTACTGCTTCCATTACTTGGCTTGAAAACGAGAGCTCAGAGCACATCATTTTATAATGAGTGTAGGTTTCCTTTTCAGATGCATTATCTTCCCTTCTTCACAGTGGAGATCATCTGTCAGATTTCTGCTCACTCACCAAGCTCTGTGAGTTTTCTTTTTTCTGAAATTTATCTTTGTCAGCTTGGCATTTCACTACCTCTGCAATCCGTAAAATAGAATATTTCATGGAATATTCCATTTCTCTACCATTTATAAAATGGTTGAGGCCTACCAGTAGTGTAGGAGGGACCAAACTGTTTACTTTTATTTATCTTACTCTTCCAAGAAGCATTTATTAACTATGTAAGAAAAATGAATATGCTATTCTAGGATGGGGTGTAGTAGGAGACGACATGGGGATTATAAGATGAAAAACAGACAGTTCCTGTTTTCTAAAAAGCCAGAAATGTAACAGAGCATATTTTCTGTAATGCATGTGTGACTAACAGTGTATTTCAGAGGATGCCATAGTTATATATCATTTGTTTGATTACGAATGAGTGCATATGAACTACAGCATCATTGAGGCTCTCCTGTACCTGCAATGCTACGTCTCCAGGAACATGATGCAGAGGAAATCACTTCACAGAAGGGGTCAAGGATGGTGATGCTGTTCTACATGAGGAAGAGACACAGGTATACAATGAGTGAAGGCATGGAATGGAGGAAGAATCAAGCCATTGGTTCAACTGGAGCTGTATGGATTAGCACGGAAGCCACTATACCTGGGTGGCTCTGGAATACTTGAAAGGTGCTTAGTCCCAGTTGAGATGAGCTATAGCTATAAAATACATACCAGATATCGAAAACAGTACCAAATGAGACTCAAAAATAAGTCATTAGTTTTGTTTTGTATAAATTTTTAAAATTTTCTATAACGTTAGGGGTGTAAGTGGTTTTGGGTACATGGATAAATTTTTTAAATTTTCTATAACCTTAGGGGTGTAAGTGGTTTTGGGTACATGGATAAATTGTAGAGTGATAAAGTCTGGGATTTTAGTGCACATTATACCCAGTAGGTGATTTTTTATCCCTCACACCTTTTCCTAGCTCCCCTCTTCTGCATCTCCAATGTCCATTATACCACTCTGTATTCATTTGTGTACACATCCTTTAGCTCTCACTTATAAGTGAGATTACATTGATTAGATGTTGTAGTGATAATATTTTCGGAATATTAATTTAAATAAAAATATTAGTAAAATTTATTTTACCTTTTTTCTTTACTTTTTAATGTGGCTACCGAAAATTAAAATTTATATATGTGACTCACATTATATTTCTATTGAACAGTGTTGGACTGGAGCACGAGGTAATTTCAAGAGAAGAGAAGTAAGTTCAAATAAGAGCATCAAGGGCATTAAATACCTGACTAAGTAATTCATATAATACTTGCCAGCTGGTGGGAATTCATTGATTTTTGAGTAGAGAAATAAAATAGAATACCAAGGGAACATTAATCTAGTAGCAGGGGCATATTTCAATTTCCAGTTCCTTATTCATGATAAAACATTGCTCCAGACCTTAATGATAATTCATTTTATAGCTTTTCAGTTGAAATTTTGCCAAAGGAAAAAATGATTTGTGTCACTGTGCTTATTTACTCATTTTCAGATAGATCCTAGGTAGATTAATGCACTCCATTTCTCCTTATAGAAACCTTGTTACCTTTTCTCCAAATCACTTATGTTGGTATAATTGCATAGTGAGCTCTCTTTGATAAATCTTACCCAATTGAAGAGAAGCAAAGTGACTCTCATTATTTTCCTACTCAGAGATGTCCCAGCAGCCTTTCTCACCCTTTATACTGGGCATGCAGGGAATATTTGCAGGGAAGGATGTTGAGGTATCATTCGGTATAATCACAGCAGTACATGGTGGTTGTAGGATTTCCAAAAATTGTTGCTTATGTTTCTGCAATGAATTCAAACATATGGGTGCATTTGGGGGATGTGGTGCCATATTTATAACAAATGTTTTATTCAAATTTTAATATCTAAAAATTATAAAATGTGAATATTTACTGAGCTTCATCTGATTGTCCCAAGCTTTCATTTTAGATAAATGACTTAGGTGTTTTAATCGCTCTTTGCTCTCTGTTTCTTTTCTGTCATATTTGCTTCTGTTGTTTTGTGCTTAGTATGAAACCATAGAATTCTGTGCCTACCTGATGCATTCCACATGAGCAAAACCTATTTCTCATTCCAACACCCCTTCTTCTTTCAGATAACTAGAACAACCTTGACAAGTTCCAAACAGTCTGAATGTGATTTTATCAAAATTATGCTAAAGTTACAGCATTTTAAAGGAAGGTTTAAAATCATTACGATACAGAAAAATCCCATTTAGGTTTCTGATATACCTAATCTACTTTTATTTCCTTCAACAATGTTGTATAATTTTGCTTGCATAAGATATGCATATTTAAATTATATTTACAAGTATTTTGTATTTTTGAAGCCTTTTCAAAAGGATTTTTCACCCTATATGCAAAATACATATTGAATAGTAACTTTAGTATTTATTTTGTGCGCTGCTCATTACAGAACTCTTGTTATTTCTAAGGACTGTTTTGTTTATTCTTGTGACGTGCAGTCATAAATTTGAAAGTAATAATGATCGTCTATCTTTTTCGTTATTTATGACTCTTATTTATATTGACTCATAGATAAACAGGTATCCAAAATGACATCAAATGACAATGTTGATAAAAATAATTTTGGTAATTTCTAAAACTTGTGGATAGTGTCTTTATTAATTGTGATTTCTGTTTGTAAATAATTTTTCTGTATCTTCTTAGGTTTTATGAATATACTAACAATTTGGCAACAGTATTTGCCAATAATAAATAATTTTATGAGCTGCTTTTCAGAATTATTGAAGGCAATCATATACCTTCTCTTCATTTAATTATTAACATGAAGACTCATGAGTTTTCTGATAGTATTAAATCATTATTGGGTTATTATACTGTGGTTGCAGTACATTATTGTTTTAATATAACACAAAATAAATCTGCACAAATTATAGTCAAAATGCTTGCATGTACATTCAAAGATACTGTGTTATTTGAATTGCTTTGACAAGATTTGATGTCAACCTTATGTTGAATTTACAAAAGAGAATGGAAGACATTCAATTTTTTAAAAATTTCCTTTTATGTTTAAGAAAAGAAATTATCTACTCCTGGTAAATTCGAAAAGACTTGTTTTTAACGCCATTGTAGACTTTTCTCATATACTTGTGTCAGACATTTTTCTGTTAGTGATTTTGTATTATGTTGTCTAGCTAAAGGAGTGACATTTGATATAATTGTTAATTAGAATTTTTCAACTTTAAAAAATCATTAATTTCTTATTTTCCTCCCTACTAGTTTGTTTTTGCTGCTTCCATTATGTTTTTCTTGATGCTTAGTAAATGATTTTGACGACCATGTGTGGGTCTTTTCTCAGTTTAAAAATAGTTTCTTCTGTTAAGTCTCATAATAGTGTTTCTCTCCGTTTGTGATTTTTTAGGAGCAAGAGGTCATTAGAGGTCTAATGCCAGGACTTCCTTTTACTAATTCTCCTAATTTGTATTTATAGCTGCCTTTTGTCTCTGAGACTCCAGACTTGCCTTCCTCAGACTCAGTTATCTACATTGTCAATTATAATTTGTACCACTTTTATAGGCATATTAAATCATGGTGTGGTAATACTTATACATTGTTTTCCTTAAGTCAGTCTCTTTAATAAATCTCTTGTCTCTTGATTTAACATCTTACCATTCATCTATTTTTACTCTCAAGGGATCCATATATTCTTTGTAACCCTTCAGAGAATAAGTAGATGCTTTTAATAAATTATTTACTGTAATAAATTCTTTTTCAAATCTTGTTTTCAACTTCTTTATGTCATGATATCTTTATTATAAAACTGGCTCCAATTTTTCACTCCTTCCTGTAGCTATACTGTTTGCAATGTTACCTTATAGGTGGACTCTTATTTCTCCGCCCTTTGAATCTGGGCTGGGCTTGTCACTTGTTTGGGGCAACAGAAGTGAAAGCAGAAGTGGTATGTGTTTTTCTGATCCTAGGTACAGTGCTTTGGTGATGAGTACACAAAAAGAGGCCTTGGACTCTTTCTTCCTGGGAACTCTGCCTCTTTTTCTTTTTTTAGAAGGAACTTTGCTCTTGTTGCCCAGGCTGTAGTGCAATGGCGTAATCTTAGCTCACTGCAAACTCTGCCTCCCAGGTACAAGTGATTCTCCTGTCTCAGCCTCCCAAGTAGCTCAGATTACAGGCATGCACCACCCCATCAGGGTATTTTTTTTTTTTTTTTGTAAGTAGTAGACATGGTGTTTCACCAGTTGCTACCATCATTCCAAGTGACAGCTAGTCAACTGGGTGAATGAATGTGAATAAATAAATGCTGACTGTTCTAGGTCACTAAGTTTTGGGTAGCTCCTTTGTGTTGTGTTTCTTTTTCTTCTTTTCTTTTTTTTTTTTTTGAGATGGAGTCTTGCTCTGTCACTCAGGCTGGAGTGCAGTGGTACAATCTTGGTTCACTGCAACTTCTGCCTCCTAGGTTCTAGCAGTTTTCCTGCCTCAGCCTCCTGGGTAGCTGGGATTATAGGTACACGCCACCAGGCCCAGCTAATTTTTGTATTTTTAGTAGAGAAGGGGTTTTGCCATGTTGGCCATGCTGGTCTTCAACACCTCACCTCAGGTGATCCGACCACCTCAGTCTCCCACAGTGCTGGGATTACAGGCCTGCCACTGCTCCTGGCCATCCTTTGTGTTTCTAATTGTGGCATTAATTAAATAACAACAGTGATATATTGCTCTCCCTTTTTTAATTCACGTTTTTTTCTGTCTGTGGCATTAGTTAAATAATAAAAGTGATATATTGATCTCCCTTTTTTAATTCAAGTTTTTTTCATTTTCATTGATGCCAAAATAAAATATTTTCTAAGGTTACGATTCTAAAATAAGGACATTTCCTTCTTCAGTAATGGAGCATTTATTTGTCCATTGTCATATGGATGGATTATTCTTATACTTGACCCAGCAGCTGAGCGCAGAGGCAGGTAAGCAGAAACAGACACCTCTCACCCTGACATTTGCTTGGTGACCACTGGAGTCACCCTCTAATATTTAATTCAATGAACTGGGCATCATGGTTTCAATTCAAGGATCTGAAGACTGGAAGGAGGCTGAAGGTAGTATGGAAGTAGAGTCACTCATGGGCCTGTAGAAAAACCTTCATTTGCTGTGGTTCGGAATGAACACCTAGTTTTCCATGAAGTGAGGTCTTGGAGCGTGACTTTGGAGTGTGCTTCCCCGCCTCTGTCCTCAGCTGCTAGGTCAGGTGGGCTGTCTTTGCCACAGAGGACATTCCTTTTAACTGTGAGAATGCTGCTCTTTGCTGGTGAAGGAACACTGCAGGATCTTGTCCATCTTCACATGCCTCTGTTAGCATAGCTACACCTGGACTCCACATGGCCATCTCCAAGTGATGATGATCTCTGGAGGACAAAGTGGGTTCGTGTGAAATAGTGAGTTCTAAACCAATCGTCTCCTTCCATATTGCTCATTCCCATGGGAGGTTTCACCATGTTTCCTCTCAAAATTTGCTAGAAAAATATAGCAACATGGCCTCATCAGTACCACCATGGGAAGAAATGCGTGGATGGTTTGGCATTCCTTCCCTAGTTTCAGCTCTTACACAAGCTTTTTTCTATTTCTGATTTTCTTTCTTCACTTCTGAGTCTGAGTGGGATTAAAAAAGAGTTTAAGTACATGCACCAAATGTAATCTCTACTTAGTGAACATCAGCTTTCCCTGTGATCAGACCTCCTTGGCACTCCCCTCAGTACAACAGACAGGATCCCCGCTGACCCTGCCCTGGAACTTTCTGGCAATGGGAGGATCTTTGAAAATATTAATGTAGTGAAACACCATAACTCTCTGTGAAATACCACTCAGAGCCTTAAAACATTGTGATCATTCATAAAATAATTACATCCATAAAAAGTCAATACCTCCCTGAAGACTATTGCAGTGCACCAAGATTTATGTGTTTTCCACATTACACGAGTGAGGTTAACTCACCTATCGTACGTAATAAGTCCAGAAGGGCTAAGGGAAGGAATGAGGTTTTAAGCACACTCTACATTTCTATTAGCCTTTCAGAGAACCATCTTTAAAAGATTTATATACAATAAAGTGAACCATCTACACTATTAAAATGGTGCTTTACAACTTACAGTTGAAGTATACCTTCCGTATACGCACACTTCTGATTCCTGGACTGAAAGAGCCCAAATTCCTCTCTAAGAAGGTTAGGCTAAAGTCTCCATTTTCTGAGGATCTTTATTTTATCCCAGTATCTCATCATCTGCTTACTTTAAGAGATGTAGTACATACAATTTTGTCATTTAATTACTAAACCTTTTTTCTTTCTTTGTCTGTCATTCCAAAATTCTTTGGAGTTGTGGGGTTCCAGCCACTTACATATATATATAAAATAATTGTTAAGTTAAAAGCCCTTTAAGTCACCATATTCTAATTTGGAAATTGGAAATGATGTTATTTATCTTATAAGACTGTTAAAATAATTGAATGAGCTTATTACATAAAAATGGTTGTGGAAGTTTGAAAGTCAGTTTTCTCTCTTTTCACTTGTGGGACACTAGAATCCAACTGAATACCTAATGTGTTTACCTACGTCCCTACTAGGATGCAACTGAATACCTACTGTGTTCCCTGAAGTGGCACACCCTGGCCTCAGAACCTCTGGCTTTAGTTAAAGGGCAATGAGCAAGTTCTTTATGAGTAAAAGCAGAAGTCAGACTAGTGAGCAGCATTTGATTTTAATTGACCTTAGTGAAAGGCTGGTTCCATTGTTTTGAATTTTGACCTCGGCTTGGTGACTTGGGACAACATTAAGCTGCCTTTAGTCTGTCTGAAGTGAAAGCTTTGTTTAATGGCCAGCTATGGAGAGGAGCAGATTTGTGTCCTGGGCTTCATAAAATCTGTGACACTGTGACATCAGAGCTGCTCTCTAGAAACTACTTCTTGTCTTCTTCTCGATGGTATGAACTCAATGTGTCACCATAGCATTGATGGCATTTTTTTTGAAGACTCCTGTTGGGTGGATGTGGAGTTGGAACATGCATCACTAATCCGGAGAGGTGTAGATACCGCCTGATGATTCTCAACCCCATCCTGTGAAAGTCCACCCTCAAA